CTACACAGGGCACATGCTTTCCATTTGGCTACAGTCCCCACCACTCCCAATCACCTTACTCCTAGCCTGCTGCACTCATTTATGCTACCTGCCTGGCCCCTGTAGGTGGGTAGGTTTACAGTCCTGGGTCTGAGAGAAAGTTGCATGGAGGCAGATCTGCAGCTAGGGATATGGCTTCCGTTCCCATTCTCAGAAGGGATTCCCCTCCCCCTGTCCTAGTGCTGAAACGGCCCAGATCAACCCAGCCCAGCACCTACCCACCCATGGACAGAGTGTACCTTCATAGAGAATTCCCTGGTCATCCCTGGTCTGGAGGGATCCCAGCTTCCAGCATCGCCCACTCTTGTCAGTTAGCACTGTCCCTGAGGGCAGAGCCTCAAGGGAGGTGGTCACCCGGCTCCGCTTCAGTGTCTGAGGGCTTTGCCTAGTCTTCTGTGGGCTGCTTTTGGGGGTTGGGGATCTGCTCCAGGCCTCTGCAGGAGGATGGTCAGAATAAAGAAAAAGCAGCAACCAGGAGAGAAGAGTTGGATGGGGAATGAAACAATACTCATAATACTGTTCGTTTATCCATTTGTTCACTCAATAAACACTTCCTGGGCCTTTCCATGGGTTAGATCCTTTGTGTGATGACTGGCAGCCAGACATGGATCAGGCCTGGATTCTGCCCTTAGGAGCTCCCAGTGTGTAGAGGAAGTCTGATTTAGATATAGGCAGTGAGAATCGAGTCTGAGACCAAGCAGTATAGAGGGATATTAGGGCCTGGAGGAGAAAGAGATTGATTGTGCCTGGAGAAGTCAGGGGAGGCCTCCTGGAGGAGGGGACACCAGAGTTGGGTCTTCTTGGATGAGCAGAAGTTCACTGGGGGAAGAAAGACATTCCAGACATTCATCCTCAAACATCCTGAAACAGGGGCTGGCCAATTAGCTCACTTGGGAGAGTGTGGTGCTGGTAATACCAAGGTCAAGGGTTTGGATCCCTTTTCCAGCCAGCTGCCAAAAAACCCCACAAAACATGAAAACAAAAACATCCTGGACACAGGATTTGGCCCCGTGCTGAGTATAAAGAAGGCCCAGAAATTTGCTAGACTAAGGCCCTGCCCTTGACGGGCTCCCAGGTTTGCAAGAGAGGGGTGGATATGACAGGAGACAGACATGGATACAGGAAAAGATAACATCACCTACCTGTTCCTCCCACCCACCATTCCTCCAAGGCACATCATGGCAAGAGGCCTCTGGGGCCCAGAGGATAATGAGGAGTAAAGGGAAGGTTCCACGGGCTGTGACTTCAGATCCAGGGACCAGTGGGAAGGAGATGGAAAGAGACGGACACATAGTCCTCAGGCCTCCCATGTCCTGGGCACTGGCTGGGCATGAAGCATATACAGATAAGTCATACTTGGTCCCTGCCCACAAAGGACTCCCAGTCCAGATAGTGAGGCTGAAAAGCACGTGGAACCTAAAGCAATATATGTGCTCAAATCAGGGCAGCACAAGGCACTGGAGGCAAAGGACAAAGAAGATGAGAGAGTCTCTGGGGGCAATGAGGAAGCCTTGATGTAAGCCTATGGCACTCAGAACAGGCTTCCTAGAGAGCAGACCCTCTGAGTTGGCAAAGGAGGGAGTGCCCGAGCCAAGGTGAGAGACTTAGCAAAGATAGGAAACAGACCATACAGACGGCAGGCTAAAGAAGAGCTGGGACTGAGGGCGATGGGAACAGTAGGGGGCTTTGAGCAGGGAGAGGCCATGTAGAGTTGAACTGAGGTTGAGATTGCAGGCTGGGGAAGATGCTGGGTTGAGGGTCCAGGCAGAGGTGGATCCTCAGGCCTCCCATGTCCTGGGCACTGGCTGGGCATGAAGCATATACAGATAAGTCATACTTGGTCCCTGCCCACAAAGGACTCCCAGTCCAGATAGTGAGGCTGAAAAGCACGTGGAACCTAAAGCAATATATGTGCTCAAATCAGGGCAGCACAAGGCACTGGAGGCAAAGGACAAAGAAGATGAGAGAGTCTCTGGGGGCAATGAGGAAGCCTTGATGTAAGCCTATGGCACTCAGAACAGGCTTCCTAGAGAGCAGACCCTGAGTTGGCAAAGGAGGGAGTGCCCGAGCCAAGGTGAGAGACTTAGCAAAGATAGGAAACAGACCATACAGACGGCAGGCTAAAGAAGAGCTGGGACTGAGGGCGATGGGAACAGTAGGGGGCTTTGAGCAGGGAAAGGCAATGTAGAGTTGAACTGAGGTTGAGATTGCAGGCTGGGGAAGATGCTGGGTTGAGGGTCCAGGCAGAGGTGGATGATGTTTAAGCTGGAGCTGTGGCAGCTTTGACTCCATATTGCCAGATGACCCACATTTGCCCCATCTAGAGCCAGATTGACCCACGTTTGCCCCATCTAGAGTCAGATTGACCCCAACTCTTACCTTTGGGTCTCTCAGAGGGACTCAAGGTATTTTCAGACTTAGAACTGTCACCGTCTGAGAAGAGGGATAATGGGGGAGAGGTGACAATGCTGGACCATTTCGCTTTCTTGGGAGAGATTTCAGAACTGGAGTGCAGCTCTCTCCTTGAGCCTAGAGAAAGGCAGACCAAATTGCAGGCTGGAGTTACAAAGGCCCTTTCCAGTACCACCAAATCAGAAATCTCAAGATCATATTTAGCTATGCTTTTCCCTTTGGCCCTCATGGCCAATTCTTGCTTCTTCTATCACCTAAATATCTAAGCAAACTGTTACTTTTTTTAGTTAGTCTCTCCTTCATGGGTTTTAGCCTCTCTTTTATATCTTCCATCACTTTGTCACTCTGTGTTCTCTTCCAGGTAGTTTCTTTACAACATCTTCTAGTTCCCTAATTATCCCTTTAGCTGTGTCTAGTTTGCTACTTAAAACACCACTGTGTTTCTGATTGTGATGATAATATATATATTTTTTATCATTAGAGGTTTTATTCGATTCCTCCTCAAGTCTGCCTGGTCAATTCTAACTTTTGTTCCTTCATACTTTGAATTTATTCCTATATTTCTTTAAACATATTACACATGCTTTGTAAATATTCTCATCCATTAATTCTAAGGTCTGTGGTCTTCACAGGTCTGATTCTGTAGTTTGTTATTTCTGCTGACTCTCATGCTGGCTTGTTTCCTGGTGTATCTGTTGACTTTTGACTGGGAGCTCATGTTCCTTGGAAGCTTGTCTGTGGGAGTTCTCTAAGGTCTATCTTTAAAGGGTGTTTTGTAAGAGAAGAATTGTTTATGTCTTGGGTTTGGGGGGGGTGGGGAGCAATGCTCTTATCTTGCCACTTTAAATGTTTAGCTATGATGTTGCCACAGGTATTAGTATGAATTCTGGCCCCAAACGGGTGAGAATGTGAGTTCTTGGTTAGGAATTCTCAAAGAAGACATTCTTCCTTTTTTTCACCCACAACCAGGGCTGAGACAGACAAATGTCTCCACCAATTTTTTCTCTGGAGCAATTTTTTTTCTTTTAGTTTACCCACTGAGGAGTTCCGGGTTTAAGAGGTTTACAATCTTGCTTCCTGCACTGCTCAGGCTCTAAGCTTTGTTTCCTGTACCCCAAATAAAACCCAGGCTCAAGAACACCAGCAAATAGACCCAGGACAAATAACACTATAACACTTGCATAGTCCTGTGGACCTTTGTTTTCTTACTGTTTCTCACTTCCATGGAATTCCCTTACTTTCCTGCCACTTAACCCTATATTAAAAAAGATGTTCCATTATATTTTATCCAACATATTTGGGTGTGCTGATCCATACAGGGTTTTTGCCTATCATCTGGTTTGCCATATGGCTGAAAAAGTCTTCTTCTTTTAGTTGACACTAACTCAGGCAATATGATTTCGTCCCTGGACTACTGGAATGGACTCTTAACTTGTTTCCATGCTTCCAATCCATTTTCCACACATAGCCAGAGTCTTTCCAAAATGCCAATCATATTGTCGTAGGAAGTTAGAAAAAGACAAGAATGGGAAGAGGAAACTGATTTTTTGCAAATAGGATAACCAGTACAAATGGTTCCCTGAGGACCTAGGCATGCACACATGAGCAAAAACAGCCACAGGAGACAAAGACAGATAGGGTGCTCCGCCCCTATGTTGGGCACCATTCAGTTGGACCAATGAGCTCCCACCAGCTAAGGTGCCAATCAACAAAGACTACCAGGGCTCAACCAATGACCAAACCACACATATCCAGCTAAAAGGATTTAAACCCCTGGGAATATACCTGTCAATGCTCTCGAGCCATTCTCTCTTGCTCGAGCTGGCCCCATCCTCTCTAGAATGTATTCTCTCTTTGCTACATAAAACTGCTCTTTGATTTTCACCTCTGGCATGTCTCGTCCAATTCTTTGTTCAAGACCCCAAGAACCTGGACTTAGATAGCGGAACCTGCAAATTCCTCAGTTTCCCTTAACAATATTGTGTCACCTACTTGGTAGGAACTCTTCCACCGTTTTCTACTACACCAACGGTGTGATATTGTGAAAACATATATTTAGTCTTAGTTCTAGTCTCCTGGCACAAAAGTTCTAAAATCCTGAGAATCTCCAAAGTGATGAGTCTTTTTGTATGCCAGTGATGGCTGGCAGCCCCTAGGAAGCTTCAGGATGGGGGCTGGTCACAGAAAAGACTCAGACAGGACTTTCAGTTCTACCCCCCAACCTCCAGGGAGGGGAGAGGGACTGAAGGTTAAGCTGATTACCAATGGTCAATGATTTTATCAATCATGCCTTATGTAATGAAGCCTCTATAAAAACCTAAGAGGCCTGTGTCTGGAGAGCTTCCAAAGAGTGAACATGTGGAAGTTTTTGCCTCTACCCGCCAGGAATGTGGCATATCCCAACTCCACAAGGACAGAAGCTCCTAAGCTTTGGACCCTTCTAGACCTCACCCTGTGTATCTCTTCATTGGGCCTTTAAAATACCCTTGTAATAAACAGATAAACCTAAGTGTTTCCCTGAGTTCTGTGAGCTGCTCAGCAAATTNGGGGGGAAGAGAGGGCGGGAATTTGGGGAGTGATAGGTTGGGTAGAGAGCATAAAGAAAAATCACTATTTGTAATAATGAATATGCTAATAATAAAAAATAAAAATAAAATAAATTTTATCAAATAAATAAATAAAAGGAGAAAAATATATATAATAGACAGAAGTAATGAAAAACACAAAATAAGATGGTATATTTTAACCTAACTGCATCAATAATAATATGAAATATGAAAGTTCTAGGAAAATTACATTTTCATACTG